CATCATTCAGCTGGTAGCATATGTACAGCCTTCTTTTTATTTGAACCTTGGTGGTTGCTTTTAAAAACAGGAATCCCAGATAGCCAACATATGAAGACACGGTTGTTTGATTTTCCAAGCTTGTACACTCCACCATACCTAACTCAAGGCTGTGAGGATGGCTGATGTTGAACAGAAATACAGCCCTTCCCCTACTGCCTGCTTAATATCTCTGTGTTGATGGATTCCCATTTTTGCAGTGCTTGGGGGTTTTGAATTACAGGAGGAGACCTAGAAGAATGAATGCTTTACAATGGAATAAGCAATTGGGCCCAGACTGTGAAGTTCAGAATCCAAATGCATTGAATGTTTGTTGCCCATCACGGTCTCATCTAAAGCCAAACTGGAGTTGCAGACTACACATTAGGGATCATTTGCAATTGTATCTGGATTTTGCAGCTTGAGCCCAACTCTTAGAGAATTTAAGATGTAAGATCGACATGAGCACTAATGCCAAATCCCTTGCAACAATAGCTGTTATTCCATTTCCTTCAACGCAGAGAAGAGACTTGCCCCATGCCTGTTATGTTCCATAGCAGAGTACAGACAAGGTGCCCTATCTTTCAGAGCAAAGGGAAAATGTTATGTGTGAGAGTTAGATGACTTGCATTTATCCTTTGCAAGTTGCTTAAATTTTCTACTTAATTCGATTAATTTTTCAAAGCATACCATGGAGAGGCAACTGGCTTCTTCATCGACTGATTGGAAATTGTATACAGCTTCCTTTTTTCTTTCTCCTTTTTTATTACACTGAATCTAAAATGCCTGCAGATGCATGGTAAGCAATCAATTGAGTTCAGTTTAGAGAAACTGGATGTGTATGATACCTTGGAGAAGAGCCTTGGCAGTTTAGACTGTTTCTTTTTGTATGTATTTTGGCTGGCGTGTATTCTATGTCTATTCATTTATTTTGAAAGGTATCAGTGTTATAAATAATATCTTTCATTTGAATCATCTGAAGGGCCCAGTTTGTATGACCATGTGCGGCTGCTGTGGGTCAGCGTCTCTTCCGATTTGATTATCAAACCTTCGTCATATAAAGATTGGCCTTTTTTTATTAGCAGTGGGTATGATTTTGGTCCTTTTGGTGGAGAACGGAATCAGATATTTGACACGGTTTGTTACTGGTTGGTATTTCAATATTCCCCCCTCCCTAGTTTATACCAAAATTATTAACGAATACATTTCGTTTTTAAAAATATGGACAGCAATACCCTGTGCAGTAAAAGACTCGAGCGATTAATGCCACCCTCATGCCTCTTTTGAGTAGTTGTAGCCATGGGGCTTGGCACTGCCACCATTGTCTTTGTGCCAAAAAATATCCGCAGCGGCTGCCGCATTCTAGTACTGGAGGGTTGTCTCGAAAATTCCGCAGTGAATGCGTCGAGTTTCTATATAGCTGTGGACTCTTTCTTTTTAGAACAGAGCCCCCACCACCATCACAACCCCTGTAAAAATAAACAATCGTTCCTACTACCCCCAGTGAAGAAATATACATTCCAGAATACAGGGTTCGAGCAGCACCTGAGAAGGATGCATATTGTAAAACGAGTGAAGAATTTCTGAGTGAGCTTCTTGTTTTAAATCCATGCACACAAATAGTTACTTGAAGCATATTATCAATACTCTTTCAAATTTTATTATCTGAAACAAATGTGCCAGTGAATTTTAAGCAGAAAATCAACATAAAGAGTGTAGCTAATTTTAAATGGACAGGGGGGTTTGTTTGTTTGTTTTACAAGGGATTTTTCCCTCCACAAATGAAATGTTATTATAAAAAAGTCTGTTAGTTTCATAACGGCAATTGATAATGCATATAGAAGCGAGCAGATACACCCATAGATCTTGAAAGGTTTTCTTGTAAATTTTGGCTATGTTCTTAACTGGGAGAAAAGATAGATTTCTGGTTGGATTCGGGAACAAAAATTAAGATATAAAAGTTAAAGGCTTACACTACCACGATGAAATATGTGTACTCATGATCTCCAAAGCTATCTATTTGGTGGTAAAAGTGGATGCTACAGATGAAATCTTTACAAGGAGCATAATCCTAAAAAAAAGGGGGAAAAAAGTCAGTCTCCTGCTGGTTGCCGTGTCTCTTTGGTACCTCACAGGCTTTGACAGAGTCCTGGATGAGTGCCCATTGATGTCATGGAAACACTCAAATTACTGAGAATGATTCATGTCTGTGCTGTTCTCTTATCTTCCCCCACACAAATAGAAGTAGATTTTTAACCCTGACAACTTGTAATTTGCAGTGCGTTTTATTTTTGTATCTGGATAAATATTTTTTAACAACTGAAATTAAAATGAGGCAGCCTGTATCTGATACGATGGTGAGGAGGAGGAGGAGGAGGAGGAGGCAGGTATTCACAGGCAGCAAATAAGATCCATTTGGCAGGCTCTTTGTGCCATAGGTTGGATTTGCTGGCCTCATTCTTCCTCCTCCCTTAACAGTTATTGTTTCTATTCAAATAGAAGATTTTAAGGAAGTTGGCTTAACAGGTGTAATTCAGAGTAAATCACCGTGGTTCCTGTTCCGGAGTTTTTTCCCCCCGTTTTGTGACTCCCTCCTGGCCAAAAAACGGAGGCCTGAAATCTTCATTACTTAGACTCATTTATTCTCCTGTACTAATTTCCACTGTACCGAATATGGGGCAAATTCGGTATTTCCAATACATTATCTTTGTTATTTGTAAGCATTACAACCATTAAAAATTGTTTTCTACATTAATTTAATCAAGAGAAATAGAGAAATATTCTTTTCTTGGGCATGCAGACAAATTTATTTTGTAGTAGTATCTATTTTCTGCTGTGACGTAGACAATTTCAACACGTTGAAAGAACCCTTTCTCTGGCTATGTCATATTGTTAGTGATTGGAATCCATGTGGAACTTCTGTGGAAACTCTTTAAGAGTGTGTTAAATAGTTAAAACCATAATTGTATACAAGAATGTCATATAGCAGAGGAAACACGGAGACCCAAGAATATTGGACATAATTCTAAATGTATATTTAATTATGTGAAAATGAGATTTTCAACTTTAGGTCAACACTGTTCCTATGAATTAAAATCATTTTTAAGCTTCTTTATTAAGCTGCTTCAATGTTTTAAATGCAAAAATAATTTTCCTTTTCATTGCTTGTGTTTCTATAATACTCAGACTGAACATGATAGTTCCAAATAAAATAACAAGCATTCAAGTAAAAACTGTTTTGGAAAGGATGTGTCTTCGGTAGTGTTAGTAATTAAATGATTCATTTGCAGGGGTAATGTACTGTACTATGTATAGCTGGTTATTGCAATTTATTATATGCTTGATCGGGAAAACAACCTGAACTCTCCATTACATTAGAACTGTGTGCCCAAGTGTCATTACTATTGTCCACTGGCAGGTATAGCCAATATAAATCCAGTGCGCTAGATGTCCAGTCACTTACAGGGTAGAATTTGTGTGATTCCTTCTGTACTAAACTATTACTGTACTAAACACCTCTCCTTGGCTTTCTGTATTCCTAATAGTTGCAGAGTTGCCCTTGTGTACTTTAACCTAATCTTACTCTTAAACATCAGAGTAATTTCACGCCATCTTTCTGAAAGCAACACCCATAATTATTTTTTTGTTTTCCTTGTGGAACATGGCTTCTAGGTTTTCATGTTGCTCACCAAATTTCTTCTTCTTTGGTTTGCTGAAGAGTCTACCTATGTTTGCAAACCAGCCATTTGCGCTTCTTATTGAATGTTCTGGTGGTGTTTCAGAATAAGATGGAGAAGCATGCAGAGGAATCAAATTGGGTACTTAGAGCTGGTATGGAATCTCAACTCATTTGAGTCCTCTGCAGTTCTAAGGGAGCTGAAATGTTGGTAGGGAGTGATATATTGTGATCCAAAATCTTCTTTTTAAGGTACAACTGCTGAGATCAGGTAATTTACTAGAAAATTATACTGGAAAGAGAGTGAAGAAACAGACATATCAAAGTTTCCTTTCCTTTGCTAAATTCACCATCTGGAAAGCTTCTGATTGATTACGTCTGACCTCACTGATGACTGCAGGGTAATCAATGAGAATTATTATGGTTATATTATGACAGACATAGTAACCTTCCTGCTGTATACAAACAGATTCACTCAGTTTTTAAGAATAGGAAAGAAAAGGAGGAACTCTGCTTGCCTTGAAAAAGAGTAGCTGAGTCCATTTCAGATACTGTTGGAAGCATGATTTGCATTTGTCATGAGAACAGAAAATGATTTTTTAAATCATACCAAACAATGAAGATTTTTTAGGGCATGGTCCTCCAAGCATGTTTCTTCCACAAGTTCCATTGACGTGAATGGCAATGGTGCAAGAACAGCAAGCTGGTGGACATCGTAGTGTCAAACTAGGCAAGATGATAGGAGATCCATTATGGATTCATTATTATTATTATTATTATTATTATTATTATTATTATTATTAAAAGCAGCCTTGATGCCACCCAAACAGGATTGAGTTTATTCAGCACTGGATGGTCAGTACTTTTTTCCATGCTATTTGTCCAGTCCAAATCTGCCTTCCTTTATTCCTGAGCTGCGGTGTGCTCCGTGGACAAAAATATACAGGGCATTGTGATTTAGCTCCGACACTGAACCCAGTGATTACCATTTTGCATTGGTGGGACCCGGATGTAAGATATGCCTTGTTTGAGTTAATTGGTTTCTTCTGTGGTAAGAAGTTGATTGTACTAAAATCTAGAACCTGCATTATGTGTATTAGATATTTTATCATGCTCCAAGATAAAGGCTGTTTCCTTATTATAGAAGATGACCCAGAAGATTAAGGTAATATAATATAATATAACTTAAATATATTGTAATATGATACAAAGTTTAATTAATGACATATTTAATGATATAACATATTTAATAGAACATTACATGTGATAGGTAATACACACTTCTCTTACTTTCTGCTTGAAACAGGTAAAACAGAAAGAAGCTCCTATTCATCATACGGGCGAGACTCAAACCTACAGGGTTGCCACCAGGTAAGGATCATCTTATAGATTAGCATATGATTGCAAGAATTCCCTCAAGTGCGATTGATCTGTTGCTGGATTATGCAGTCGCAGCCGTGCTTTCTTAGATAGACTGGGCAGTTTGCAAGGTCAGTGTTGAATGAACATTAAATGGTACCCCAAAAGCACAGCTTGAAACATTTTCCAAATCTTCTGATACTGTTTGCGGGTTTCCATTAGTAACCAGGTCAGTCTCTCGTAAACAATTGGTGTATCTCCTTCGATACAGTGCAGTTGTGTTCCAGCATGACAATTCCTGCATAATAGCTCAACCTAAGGAATTGTAAGAGTTTGTGGGTGAGAGGAAAGCACCAATGGAGCATGTGTAAGACCCTGGCTTTGGATGGCTATTGCCATAAATTATAGTTTTCACAGAGCCTGTATGATGTTGTGTGAAAACAGGGTTGTATTGAGGGATAAAAATGTCTGTGGAAATATGGTTTGTTGTCCCTTTTTGTTTCTGAATTGTTTTTGGCTGGAAGTCAAGGCCAGCAGGCTAACGGCAAAACCGTCTCAAGGGAAGCATGTGCAAGCTAGGAAAATAAGAGTATTTTAATTAAATAATAAAATGCCAATGTAATACAAAGGTATAGCATGTGTGCGTTTGTGCCTCTGTACACTCCGCATTTGCATACTTTTAACTCTCCAGAGTGTGTCTTAGTCTAAAATTGCTATCAATAGCCAAACGTTTAAGCTTCTTTCAAGCTAAGTGATAAAAAGATGCTGCAATTCAGTTTTACCATTCACTTTTTCCCTTTGAATTCACCCATCCAGCCACTCTTGTTTTCCCCCTTCTTCCCTTCCTTCTCTTTTCCCCGCACCCTTTGTTCCTTTTAAGAACCATGCCTTCTCCATTTTAGAAACTATCAAGAATTAATATTCCTTTTTTAATTTACAAACTTTGCGGGTTTTTAACACAGCTAGCAAAAAAAGAAATGTTACTATTCTTGTTGATGAAGGGGTGCTTCCCCCCTTTTATGCTTCTCATATGACCATAAGTTCCTTACTAGTAACGTGGGATTTTGAGGCAGGGGGGTGGGTTGAACTACTTTGTTTAATTAAGCATAGAAAAATATAAACAATCCAAGTAATTAAGTAGAACCTTGCCTTGAAAAGTACACACACTTAGTATTAATGTATCCTTAGAGCTGGCATTCCACTGCCTGCCTGCATCTGTTCGCTTTTCCAAGTTTTGACTCTCCAGCCTACTCAGATATGCCATCAATTCCAGCCAGATCTCAGGCCGGAGATTTGCGCAAATGAGGCACAAGAGTGCCTGGGTCAGGAACTAAGGGTTGCATGTGTTCTGAAGTGCAGTTCCTCCCACTCTTCTGGAAGGAATGCCACAGAAAAGTAAATTTACAGTCATTCCAGGGAGACAGAAGCATCTTTGGAATGTGATTGTAAATGTTTGTAGCAGATAGCTTAGGCAAGGAACAGCTTGGCCCTGTCTCTGGTAAGGCACTCTCAGTTCCTGTGGAAGATCCGCTCTGTGATTTCTGGTGCTTGAGGGTCAAGGTAGACTTTGTTTGAGGAGCGTGCATGGCGATGGCAAGCGGCTTGCTTTTTGCAGGCTGAGCGAAACCTTTTTGTTGTGTTGTCTGGGAGGATAGTCCTGTGTGGTTTCAGATTATTTTGAGTATGGCTCTTTAGATGATTGTAGTTTGTATGGATTCCTTATCATAGGTAATAGATTTCTTGCTGATTCAGGGTAGAGGAAAGGCCCCTGAACTTGCAGAATGGTCATTCAAAGGACTTGTTTTTGTTGACATATTAAATTATTTATTAGATTGATCTCCCGCCTTTTCTTGCCAAGAACTCAGAGCGGCTTACATCATTCTCTTTCTCCTGGTCTCAGTCTTATCCTCACAACAACAACCCTGAGAGGCAGGCAGGGCAGAGAGTCTGTGACAGGAGCCAGAGTTATTCTGTTGGCTCCATGACTGTGTGGGGACTAGAATCTGGAGGGACCTCTGCTCTTCATCATTGTGCCACATTGGCTTTCTTCTCCTCCTAAAATACCATCTCCTTTTGCTTTAAGCAAAGAGTAGAAGGGAAATTATAGTAGTGCATTGTGCTTTGATGTGCCCATTACAGAAATGCATGACAATGGAAATAATGTTTTCCAAGTAAGCAATACAGGTAGAAATTGAAACTTTGCAATAAAAACCTTGATGATGCCAGAACAGTTCCTTGATTAATTTCAAGATTCTTGTCATTACTAGCCCCTTTTTAAAATTATTCTGTGCTCATTATAGGTAAGAGCTTGGTATAGTACCAACCATCAGCACTTTCATTAATCTGGTACATTTATTTAGTTACATTATAATTCCCTTTTTGTCCAGAGATACGATATTGTTGGAAATCTGCTAAGGGCTAAAGTCCTCCCCATATTTCCTAGAAAAAGTAAGAGCCAAACCACAAATAACTTGAAACCTATATCCAGAAGTTACAGATTGTTTCATTTTTACTCTATAGAGTAGGTGCAGAGAGCCAAATGCAGAGCTTCTAAGGCATGCTAGGATCCCAATCGGTATTTGGGCCCCTGAACCTTCTTAGGAGTCAAAATGGAAAAAAGATGTAGCTGCTAGATGCAGAATTAAAATAATGTCTTTGTCTACTTTATGGATTATGCACTCTGACCCAGATGTAGCAGAGTCGTCTCTTGAAGGATATATCTGCATGTAAGGCCTTCTGTTTGGCTGTATGGATTCCCAGGCAGTCCTTCTACCATGGCATGCTGGTCCTTTATCTCTGCAAAGAGACTTTGCCTTGTTGAGCTGACGACAGCTTTGGCTCTGCCCCTGCATAACACCATATTGCTCTATTCCATAACTCTTTGCACTCCCATATTTATATTTTACTCTTCACCTCCAATATCACTATCTTTTAGTTGCACACAATATTCCTCTACCACCACCACCTCCTCCTCCTCCTCCTCCTTCTTTGTGGTCTCTGTGCATCACACATATGGGCTTTGCCGCAGAGCACAAGGCCTAGATCTGAAAGAAACTTCCAGAGCTCTTTAAAAAAAATCCATGGACTAATTTTGTCCATGACTTAAGAAAATGCTCTGTACAGCAGTAATGAGAGTAACTGTATTTAAAGCTATGTAATCCACATCCTTTCATTTCCACCATGAAATGATAGTGTCACTTAAGGTACTTGTGTAAAGTTCATCTACCCTCAGCCCTAATCCTTGAAACAGATGTCTGAGGAAACCATCTTGTCAGGGCAACCAAATTAGTTCTAGTTGACTTCAAAATAAGGAAGCGTCTGGACATTTTTTGACAATGTCATTTATATTTGAGAGGAACTTGGATTCAAACATTCCTGGAAATGGGCCAGGAAGGTAAAAACAATAATCCAAGAATAGTAATCACCTGCTATGAAATATAGAAAACAATCTGTTAGCCAAGCAGCAAGGTCAGGCTTGGTCAGTAGTCATGGAGATCAATTGTGGATTCCAGAAAATTGCTTGGGCAAAAAGAAGTATGAACTGAAGTATTTTTGAAGATCAGCTTCCTTCACCAGTCTGGCCGATGATCAGGGATTTAGGGAGTTGATGTCTGGAGGCACCTCGTTGCCTGCCTCTGGACAAGGGCAGCTAAATCCACTCAGTGGTCTATGGGCTGAATCCAATTAGTGAAACACCTTTATTGTATTCCTAGTGAACCTATTAACTCTTCCTCAAAGAGCAAGAGAATGCCCAGAGTTTTACTCATGAAGAATTTAATTAAAATGAGCTGTTGTTGGTGTTCAAAGCTGCCACATATCCGCAAGTGGAAAGTTCATTACATGCCATGGTAGGACATGAATTTCTCTGATCCCCCGTACAGCCATTGGTCCCAGGGGCTATCATCCCATGATAGCAAATCCCATTTTTGTTTAAGTACTATCCTTCACTTTCAGGATGGTATATAACATATTTGAAGCACTGAGAACAAAGTAATAGAACAAAGAAATAAAGAGCTTTGGCTATGGGGTGGTAGAGAAATGAAACTATTAATAATAACAGTAATAACAACCCAAACTTTGAAAAGCAAAACATATTAAAACAGCAGAGCCACTGAAACAGCAGCAGATGACCCAATTCAGTGCTTCCACATAGACATTGAATGGTATGAGTGACAAAACAGAGCAATGCAGAACACCTTCTGTATGTACGTTTATATAAGCAAGGATGCATGGCTCTGGGCAGCAGTCCACCTCTTGGAAAGAGCGATTGAGATGGAATGCAGCCACTGCTGTACAAGGTCTCTATACCTTACCTCACAGTAGATCCAGAAGGATGTTAAGGTATTGAAAGCTGCTGAGAGATCCTGGGTAATTTGCACAGTCCTATTCCCCCTTCTTGTCCTGATACAGTTCCTCCATCACAGTGACCAAGCAAAAAGAGGAAAGCAGAAGGAAATGGGATCATATAATGAGTACCATCCAATAATGTTTGCAGTTGCATGGCAACCACATGCTCAAGCACCTTGCCCATAGAAGAAATATTTGTGGCAGATCAATAGTTTGAAGAATCCACTTGGTCCAAACTAGGTTTCATTATGTTTTCATTATGAATTGTGGAATGAAACACTTAATTGTGTCTGCTCATAACCAATGAATTGGATCTAGATTTAGGCAAGAGCAGATGAGCTGATGGAAGTAGTTTTCTCTCTGCTCTTCCTCAGAGCAGCACTTGAAACTGCTACAAAGAAGATCAGGGGACCCTGCTGAATAGGGTAGGTCATGATGCAACAGGATGATGGCGGAAAGGGACTCTCCAAGACTTGGGCATAGGTGCTTTTGTGCATGTAAATTGGATAGTCACCTCCTTCCTGTCTCCCTGTACCACAGCCTGCTCCATTCAGGAGGACCTGGATCTCTGCGTATCATTTTGGGAATGCTGGAGGAGCTTCCCCTGAAAATAAGGATTTGGGATATGCTGCTTCTGTTGATTCTGTGAACTTGTTCATTACTCT